GTCTTCGCCCACCTGCTTGGGGAGCTCCCACTGAAGAGGGACATGCTTCTGTCTTGGGGGGCTTTGAGGAGGGACAGCTGGTGTCATGTCTCAGGTGCCTAGTGAGAGGGTCATGGTTCCACCTCTGGGGTCCTTGGTCTCAACAGGGAGCCTGAGGCCTGTTTGTCAGGAGCCCAGTTTGAGGAGGTGCCCAGTTGGGGGAATTCCTTCTTTGGGGGAGCTGTGGACCTTTTTTTTAGGTCCCTCCTTGAGGGAGGGGATGCCCAGCTTATACTAAGCTGGTGTCTAAAGGAAATGGGCCTCTGGTTACGGGGACTTTTGTGAGGGTGAGGGGCGCCCCTGTTGGTGGAAAAGCTAGAGCCAAGACCCCATCATCTTTGCTGCCCTTGGCTGTGGTCTCTTCCCCGGGCCCAGCTCCTCTGGGGGCCCACTGCTGTGGCTCTAGACACCCCCCACCCCCTGCCTGGCACGTTGTGTCTGAGGTGGCAGGAATGGGAACCCCTTCCCTGGGGGTATGGGAAGTCGCCAAGCACAATGGCCAGACTCACCCCAACACAGAGGCAGTGCCTGCCCTGGGCCTGCCAGACCTGTCACCTGATGTTCCTGGGGCCAGGTCCCCTGGGTGCGGGGGTGGGCTCCGGGCAGCTCTTTTGTGAGGGGTTTGAGGCATGGGGTCTTGCAGTCGCTGAGCTTCTGCCTGAGCTGGCCCTGCACAAGTAGCTATTCTTCACTCTCTCTGCAGGGAGCCCCCAATCTGGGCTCCTGACCTTCCCTGGGGTCTCTTCTGGGCGCCCTGCCTTGTGTCCCCCTCTTGCCTCCACACCAGTGGGTCCTTCCAGCTGGGATGGCACCCCTTCCCTCTTCTGCTGGAACACGTGGTCAGGACCCCAGGAGGATCTCCCGGCCCAGCCCAGGACTCCTGGCCTCTAGGCTGGAGCGGGGGCTGGGCGGGAGGGCACACAGCCCTGCCTCCCAGCCACCTGTCAGCTTTGCTGCCAGTCTGCCCAGGACCTGGGCGGGCCCGGGTGTGTCCGTGTCCTGCCTTTGGGCCTGGTCTTCCTTCCTGGGGTAGGGTTCTGCGGACCCTCACCACCCTGTCTGCAGGGCTGAGCCTGCACCGTGCTGCTGCGTGGGGATCCCTCACCACAGTGGTGCTGAGTGGGTGGGCCAGGAGGGGCGTGGGCTGCCTGGCCTCCTGCCACCCCGTCACAAGCCAGTGGCACTCTCTCCCTTGTGTCCTGCTCCAGATGGCAGCTCAGCGGCAGCGGGCACTGGCCATCATGTGCCGGGTCTACGTGGGCTCCATCTACTATGAGCTGGGTGAGGACACCATTCGCCAGGCCTTTGCCCCCTTTGGGCCCATCAAGAGCATTGACATGTCCTGGGACTCCGTCACCATGAAGCACAAGGTGAGATTGGCTC